TAAGGATTGTATATTTTCGAAAGGTTGTTTCTTTTCTTAAAAAAAAAACCGTTTGGTTGTTATTTCTAAAAATTGCATCTTCTCGATATAACTGTTTTGTCAGAAGCTGCGTCTTTCCAATATAACCGTTTTGTCAAGAGTTGCGTCTTTTCGACATAACCGCTTTATGGTTATTTTAGGGGTTGCGTCTTTTCAAAACAAACCGTTTCGCCTATATGTATACTCCATTTTGTTTTAAAATATAAGTTATTTTGGAGGTTTTTTTTATTTCAAAATATAAGTTTTTTTTGACAATCTTATGTACTTTTTTTTTTAATTTTACTGAATACTGTGTGACCAATAATATTCTGTAGTTTCTTTTTATATTTGGTAAATTATTTTTATTATATATATTAAATTATATTTTTTAAAGAAAAATAGTTTCTTAATATTCGCGACTTTAACTAAAACAACTTATATTTTGAAACGGAGGGAGTGTATCTTTGGTTATCAACTATATTTTTATGTGCATTGGACGATTTAATAATTCTAAATTAAAAATGAATCAATTTAAATGGCGTAAAAATCCATGAATTATTCTATTGTTTAGACGAATAGCTATGGTTCCAATCCGTGAAATGAGTGAGGAAGAAAAACGTTTTTCCTAAGGGTTGCGTTTTTAGCATATAACCGATTTTACAAGAGTTGCATTTTCGATATAACCGCTTTATGATTATTTCAGGTTGTATCTTTTCGGAAATAACCGTTTAATGGTTATTTCCAAGGGTTGTGTCTTTTTATATAACTGTATTTTTAAGAGTTGCATTTTTTCGATATAACCGTATAATGATTATTTCCAAAGGTTGCATCTACTATATAGATAACCGTTTTATGGTTGTGTTATTTCGAAAATAACCGCTTTATAGTTATTTCAAAAAATTATGTCTTTTCGGAAAAAATCGTTTATTGGTTATTTTCAAAGATTGCCTTTTTTCAATATAACCGCTTTATAATTATTTCTAAGAGTTGTCTTTTTTTTTATATAACCTCTTTTTCAAAAGTTGCCTTTTTTTCTATAACCGCTTTATGGTTATTTAAAATTGTGTCCTTTAGGAAAAAATCGTTTATGGTTATTTCCAAGGGTTGCGTCTTTTTGATATAATTGCTTTCTAATTATTTCCAAATGTTGCATTTAATATGTAGATAACCGCTTTATGGTTGTGTTTTTTCGAAAATAATCTTTTTATGGTTATTTCCAAAGATTGCGTTTTTTTCAATATAACCATTTTATCGTTATTTCTAAGAGCTGCGCATTTTTAATATAATTGTTTTGTGGTTGTGTCCTTTCAAAAGTAACCGATTTCCAACAATTGCGTATTTTCAGTAACCATTTTATGGTTATTTTCAAGGGTTGTATTTTTTCGGAAAAAGACCGTTTGACATATATTTATGGTTTTTAATGTTAGGGTTGCATCTTTTCAAGATATTCAATTTATAGTTATTAGTGTCTTTTATGAGTGCGCCATTTCGAAAAAAACGTTTTATGGTTTTTAATCTCTATGGTTGCATCTTTTCAAAAAACACTGCTATATAGATTTGTGTTTTTCAATCTCTATATATTTGTGTTATTTCATTGATGATTACTAACTTTAAAATTCACTCAATGTGTGATGAGAGTTGTTTTACCAGTTATAAGCAAATTAACTTATCAAATAAAACATAACATAGCTAACAACCTACTCATGATTCAATTGCATCAAGTGAAAGGGTTCGAACACAGGGAAGACAAGGACTCAAAACACTAGACCATAAAGAACTTTCATTAAGCTAAAGCATCAATAGGGGTTTGGTTTGATTAAGCAAAACTAAGCAGAAATGTAAATAAATTGGAAATATGCAAAACAGATACTTGAAAGCAAATGCAACGATGATGGAAAGCACCAAGTATCGGGATAACAACTGACGCAGAGCAATAGATCTCTGTTAACAAGGTTAGGGCCTTTAGTATTAAGCTCACTCTTAAGCATGGAACACGAATAATGATCATCCCACTTTCGTGATGCAACTAACCACTTTGTTGAGTACAAACATCTAACTAACTATCGCTGCTAGATATAAGGACTCTCCAAACATTAAGATCAGGTTCCAATAAGCTCACTTAACTCCTCTGACAACACTTTCATGGCCAGAGGTCGCTAAGCCGAGCAAAAAGTCAGTCCGACATTCCGACAAACACCTTTCGGGTAGCAGAACGCCTCAAGGCAAAGCTCAAGGCTTTAACCGAGAGTTAAGAATTAACCTCAACCTAAGCTCGAGAAACGTAAGAGTTGAGTCGAAACTAAGTTAGCCGAGCTCTAAAGCTTCTACATCTACTATCCCGACATTCCATGAGTGGACTACTCACTCATGGCTACGGAAAAAGCCATGATTGAGCTCGAGTGAGGTGCGAATGATGTTATGCAAAGATAATTGCGATTAACAAGCAAAGATTGAAACTTTAAGCTAAAGACTAAACCTTTATAAAGAAAGTAACTTAGAACACCAAAGATCCGATGCTCTAAGGATCGATTACAACTCAAGCGTAAAAGGAAAGCTTAAAAACGTAAAAGGAAAGAAAAACTAAGAAGATTTAGGGTTTTCAGGGGCTAAGAACATATATATAACCCCTCATAACAGTACCGGGTCGACCCAAAACGTAAATGGATCGCCCACCTCGAGTCAACGGTCGACCCAGGAAAGTCAACAAAATGCATTAAATATCGGTCTCTTCAGCTTGATGCGCCTGGTCCTACGGTTGGAGAGTCTTGATGCTCCATCATAACAAGGGGATAACCTAGGACATATGTGCATAGATTTAAGGTGCACTAACGTCCGGATTCTCACCCAAGTCATGAACTTCAGTGGGTTTGTTAAGACTTCATCCTCCAGCTATTCCAAGTGCTTCTCACCGGCGTTCCTTGATGATTCTTGACTGATTTCTGCTCAACTGCTCCCTGTTCGATCCGAAACCTTGTAATTTCTCTGCTCA